TCATCGCTGAGTTCGTGGGATCGGCGGCCTTACCCCTCTGTTCACCACCGCAAACGCTGCCTGCACTGCCGTCATGTTATGGAACGGAACCATTCCCGTTATTAGCTCCCACAGCACGATCCCGAAGCTGTATACATCCACCTTCTGCGTGTACGGCCTGTGCTGGATCATCTCCCTGCAATGACAGTGTAAAGATTCAACATTTCCTCCTAATCTTTGATGGGGTTAACTAGTTGGAAAGTATCAAACAACAAAATGGATAAGCCGACGTGGAGGAAACAGAACTTAAAGTATTAGCAAACTAATCGAAGCAGCTGCCTATATCTGGGAATAGTACATATAAAAGACAGAAGCTTTTGCCCTAGCGAATTCTGTTTTGATGCAATGATCTCGAAAAGATGTTACAAGGGATATCACGACGAAAATGAAAATGAAAACCTAAGGTTAAACTGCAGAAGCTGAATTATACAGATAAGTTTTAGTTGCCCAAACCACAGATCTTTAGACAACTTGTTATGATTATTGTCAAACCCTATGGATAGGTAAATTAGGTCTATAAGCTTTTCAGCTTATGTCATGGCTAAGCAACTTGGACACCAACTTCTACTAGAAATTAACTACTCAAAAGGGCACAACAGTTATATAACAAAAAAAGTTAAAAAAAAAAAAAAAGACATCAGATTTCCCATTCTGAGAAGCTGACTCTAATAAAGGTTTGAAAATAAGCAGTATATTAGCCAGCTGATTCCAAAGAGGAATCCCATCCTTTTTTGCCTGATTCTGCTCTACGTTTTTTTTCCCGTTACAGCTCACTCGTTAAATTGGACAACATAATTCGGTTTCAACTATTATGATTACCAAAAAGATCCATGAAACATAAATGGCATATCCAAGAAATAACAAACTGAACTACACAGATTACAAATCAAAGCAAGAAGAGCACAAGCGAGCACATATGCAGCGGCAATTATGTGATAGAAGAATAAGCTTAAAGAGAAATAGTCCCGATTTCCACATGGTTGATATCCCATCATAGCCCCTATCTCCAAAACTTTGGGATCTAGACCATTTGGTCAAAGTCAAACAGTAATAGAACTATGCCATATCATATTGAATATGCTTCTTTCAACTTGGTTGAGCTCAGGATTCCACTAGGATGTACTAACAAAATCCACATCTCGAATCCCCACAGGACAGAAGACTAGCATCATTATGGGACGTGTAATGGATTCTACAATGACAAATCATATTAAAGAACAAAAGGAAAAAACAACAACTCAAGTTGGCACAACTTATCACCAGAACAAGAAAGCCTAGTTGACAAAGCAATGTCTTTTTTCCAGAAAAGGAAAGCACAAGCAAGTTTTGGTGAAACTGTCCTACAGTATTCCTCAAAGTGATCAAGGATTTTCACGAGAAATCAATTAAACTTCTTTCATGGAATGAAAACTATTGATATATCTTGAAAAGCCGAAATCATGCAAGAGACTTCTTTCGTGATAAAAATAATACATGCATATACGGCATGGCTGTATACATGAGACTTTCAAAAAGACGTTGCGACATGATTGGAAGGATTTCCCAAATAGAAGTGTGAAAAATTCATGCCTAACAAATGAGAGGACAGCAAGGATTAGCTTCTTCATCACATGCTTGAAACACACACACACACAGACAGGCACATATTTCCACTAGAAAGGATTTAAGACACTTAGGCTAAGAGATCAAACAAAATTAAGCAGAACAGGGAGAAACATAAACACTGATATATAGACTTACGGGGCCATCCAACGGTAAGTCCCTGTCTCTGGTGTCATTCCCTCTGTTTTAACCTCGATTCGAGCAACCCCAAAATCCGCAATCTTGATGGACCTGTCTGCAGCAATTAGAAGGTTGTCTGATTTCAAATCTCTGTGAATATACCCAAGCCCATGCACGTAGGCCATTCCCCTTGCCACATCCAATGCCTGCTTAACCGCCAGTTTCAAGGGCACAGCTCTATTTTGCCTCTTCGTCAAAAACTGCCTCAGTGACCCTCCCTTTGCATACTCTGTAACAATGCACCAGACAACTGATTTCCTGCAGGCCCCAATGAACCTCACGATATTGGGGTGCCTCAGCGTTGCAAGCATCATCACCTCCTGTTGAAACTGTTGCTCCATCAGTTGCCCTTTCTCAGGATCATTCTCTGGCCTCTCGAGGATCTTAATGGCAACATCCTCTCCATTGTACGTTCCTCGATATAGCTTTCCAAAGGCTCCTTGAGCGAAAGCAGGACCCATATTCAGTTTCCCTAAATTAATAGTCCAATCATCGAAATCCCCCAATCCTTCAACTGGATATCTATCGTCCATTAAACTTTGCGCAAGTGCATCATCGCTGAGTTCGTGGTTGCCTGGACGATAAACACTGTTTTCTGCAGTGCCGGAGTAATTGTGGCGAGCAGCCTTCAGGCCTGGATGGCCTAGAATATGGGTATGAGAATCATTGGACCCAACACTACTTGTTTTACTTGACATGGACACAGATCCCCCAGCAATACTTGTCTGTAAACTATCGACGGACATGTTTGAACCTTCACCAAGTTTTTTATAGTAATCGTAATAATCGTTATTGTTGTTATTGTGCCCTCCAATGAATCCATTGAACTTAGGCCCCTCGACCATTTTCCCGATCATTTGCAACTCACAAGCCGTAAGCAAGACGGTGAACCAGTCACACCTCAGGACGGACACACGGGATTGCAATAGATAGCACAACAAGCCGCTAATCACAAGGAATCTGTACCATTGAGAAAACAACAACACATATACATTTAGACATTATACTTAAATGAGTCTACTTTGGGTAACAAAATTAACAAAAAGTCTAAAACTTGCTGCAATGTCTCAAGCCTCCAGTAACTTCCATTTATGGTTTATGTAGGAATTTCATCCTAAAAGCAACATGATTATGCCTTTCTACATTTGCCCCAAACAATCGATAAAATAACCAAACATATCATTCACCAGAAATAACCAAACATGCCCAGAGAATATGTGATTCCAGCATCCTACAGCTTGTCTCACTTCAGGGTTTCTTCAAACATTCCACAACCTGAGAACAATCCGAGACCAAGATTTCAGGAAATAACAGAGGCAGAACCATCCTTGACCAAAGCTAACGCCAAGACAAATATGCAAAGTGACAAAATTAGTTTCAGAGTTTCGATTTCGAAAGCATCGTAGAAGAAGAAAAGGCAAGCGCATGAGTACGGAACGACCCAATCAGTCGTGGAAACACCAAATCCTGGGAAATGGATAACACCCAGATTCGGGGACCGATCACGAAATTCGAGAGGCTCGTCACAGAAGAGGTCAAAATCAACTGCGAATTTCGTCGAAAACGCGTTGAGAAAATAATCTTGACGAGAAAACCCATGTCCGGAAAAAGCGAAGAACGAGAAGAAGATATTGAGACAGCTACTGCTCAGAAAGCAGAAACTTCGGACATAGCATCGTAAACGGTAATCACCTCATTCGTCGACGATTCCGACGCCGGAGAGAGAGAGAGAGAGGCTGACCAAGATGACGACGACGACGACAGGAAATGAGAAGCTCTGGTCAGTCTTCGCTCCTTGTTTTTTATATATTTTTTATTTAGCTTTTTAAAAATAAAAAATCATTTGCCGTGTTGTTTGTTGCTTATTGCTTCCGGCAATTCTGATTTTTTCTTCCCAAGAAAAAAATTGTAGTACGAGCAATCTAATATTGCCACGTGTCCTGCAAACTAAACATTTATTTCTTTTCAGTAAATGTATAGAAAAAATTCCAAAAAGACCTATACTTCTAAATCGTTACAATTTAAACTCCATACCTTTTTTTTTACCTTATTACATTCTATATTTACGATATTTAATAATAAAATACATTTACTTTAAAAAAAATGACAAATAAATACACAAAATTAATTGATTAGTCAACTCTGACAAAAAAATAAAATGACAATATTTTTTTCTAATCATTCCTACCGGAGTTTAATAAAATATAATAATATTAAATAATAAAAATATTAGGTGTAGGGGCATATGTCCATTCTTTTTATTAAAAAAAATAGTTTCATTATAAGTTCTATAAATTTTAAATAAAAACTGTGGAATGCAAAAATTAGTAACTTCCATTTATATAAAATTCTATGTTGCCCCCAATGATAATTTTCTTTAGGTCCACCCCTGTACATATATAAATGTATACATAAATATATATATATATATATATATAAATATATATATGTACACATATATACATATATACATATGTATGTATAAACATATATGTATATATGTATATGCATGTATGTATGTATATGTAATCTTTATTTTTTATTTTGTTTTATTAGTACTATTATTAATTTTTTAATATTTTTATTATTTAATATTATTAAATTTTATTGGGATAAAAAAATTGTCACTTTATTTTTTTAATTAAATTTGATTAGTTAATTTTGTGTCTAAGGATTTATTTACCAGATTTTTAAGTATTGGTATTTTATTATTAGATACAATAACTATAAATTTTAATGGGATAAAAAAAATTATAGAGTTTAATTTGAGATAAATATATATATATATATATATATATATTAAATTTTTTCATGAATGTATTAACAAATAAATACATATAATACCGTCATATGGTATGGAAATAAGTATAAATGTTTGAAATTACGTTTTTTTATTAATTTATGATTTTACATGAGTAACCATTTTATGGCTTAGGTAACATTTTTTCGGATGACTTGGAATAATAATATACTAATTCTAGAAATCAAAATTCAGGCTCTACAAATATCACAATTACCATAAAAACATTAAACCATTATAGGATAAATATTTTTTTTATTTTGATTTGATGGTATTTGGTTCATAATAATCAATTCTTTCATCTTTTAATCTCTATCAATTGTAGGAATCGATATCTAATCTCTTTTATTTATGATGCAAATTATTTATCAAAAAAAAAAAAAAGAATTTCTCGAATCACAGTCTAGTGGTTCGTTTTTTTAGTACACTTTAAACATATAATTTCTAGACTTTATCAATAACGTTTGATCTGCAAGAAAATTTGGAGAATTGGGATTTTTTTTAGTTTTTTTTTCTGTTCTCTTTTTGTTGTGTTTCTTTTTTTTTTCATTTTTTTTAATAACTATAAATTGGATAAAAAACAAACGACCAACCTCCTTTTTAACCCAAGATTTGGTGACTCAATTAATAAAAAAAAATTAAAATGTACTTTCCCTATCTTTTAAGAGAAAGTAATTGAACTTCGATTATGAAAAAGAAAAAAAATGTTATGAGTGGTTAAAAAACCGATTTACGAATTAATTAAGTATTTTTTTTTCTTTTTGATAACGGTCAATTTTTCGGTTAATATTATTTTATAACTGTGTTCTAACCAAATTCGATATAAAAAAAACGATTTAATATGATTTTTCTAGAAAAAACGTTCCATAAAAAAATATAAAAATTATTAGAAAAACTGAAAAATTCTTCAAAAAATAAATATTTGATTAATTAAACCGAAACCCGATTCAATATAAAAGTAGAATGATTAAAATATTTCTAAAATTGAAATAACGGAATCTAAACCAAGCTTATCCGATAGGAGGGGAACAAAAATTTTCAGGGGAAAAAGAAAGGGTAAAAATTCTTTCCTCCATCTTGAACTATAGATGGTTAGATTAATTCGTAATCATCTGTACAAAAAAAAACTTGGAAGCTTCTACGATGGAAAGAGTGCCGTTTTACTGCATCTCTTTGTCCTAAAGAGCATCTGTAAGTGTTTCAGTCGAGGATTCTTGTCTGTCTTTGATGGTAACTGCATCTGCGTGTATATATTACTGAGGAACTGGGATGGAATTACTACTGATCTGTTCCTGCAAAATAAGAAGATTTTAGCTGAGTAATCCGAATTCAGCGTTTTCAGATTATTGTTCTGATTCCGGTTCGGTTCTAACCAGATGTAAGGAAGACTGGCTGGTGGTGGGTGATGGTCCAGGGCTGTTGATGACAACCGCCGACTGTGTCGATTCTTCCGCAAGTAATCTCAACCTGTTCAGCTCTGGTAATATGACTTTGGCAAGATCTGGTCTGTCTTTCCTCCTCAGCTCTGCACACTTCAGCGCCATTTTCGCAAACTCGGTGGCCTCTTCCACCGGCCAGTCGGGTACTGCCGGGTCTAGCATATCCCGGAAGGTCCCTTTCTCGATGGCCCTCTCCACATAATGGGTCAGACCCATTGGTGACTTTGCTGTCAGCAGCTGCAGAAACATGATGCCGAGGGAGTAGATGTCGGATTTCACACCCAGCATGCCCGTCTGTTGATATTCTGGATCGATATAGCAGAACGTTCCGGCAGTTGACGTCATCCGGTACTGTGTCACGTTATCTGCAACAGATGGAGGCACCAGCCTGGCAAGTCCAACGTCGGCGATCTTGCTGACAAAGTTTCGGTCTAGCAAGATATTTGCGGGCTTAAGATCACGATGAACCAGCGGTTCTGGTTTGGTCTGGTGGAGGAACAAGAGTCCCGTACCGATTTCCGCAGAGATTCTGAATCTGGTTTGCCAAGACAGAGGCGGGCTGTTTCCTCGTCTGAAAAGGCGGTCTTCCAAGCTTCCATTCGCCATGAACTCGTAAACTAAGCACCCGCATTCTGGGCATGCACCGAGCAGGAGAACCATGTTCGGGTGCCTTATACAGCTTAACACCTCGACCTGTAAGAATAAAAGATCTCAGAAAGAACCAGGTGAACTTTATAGATGTGTTATTAGGACATCTTAGTAAGTGTACCTCTTGCTGAAATTGAGATCTTCCTTGAGCTGCGTCTGGACGTAAAACTTTGACGGCCACTGGTGTGTGATCGAGGAAACACTTGAAGACAGGACCGTACCCTCCTTCTCCGATCTTGTATTTCTCGGCAAAGAACTCGGTTGCACGTTCAATCTCCTCGATGGAATACTTCCTATACCTGACATCTGAGTGTGCTAATGCGTTAAGGGCCTTTGTTTTTTCTTCAGCTTCCTTGAGGGCTTTCATTTCTGCATTGACCCTCTTCTGGGCCTCGAGCTCTGCAATCCTTTGAGCTGCTTCAGCTGCTTCAATGGCTGCTTTGGATTTGGCTTTCTCCTTCTCTGCAATTGCCAATGCAGCTTCCTCAGCATGCCTTGCCTCTTCCAGTTTCCGTCCTTCCTCTAACTTCCAACGCTGAAGCTCCATTGCCTGCATTGCCATTGCCGACATGTTTCAGAATACGCAGAGAGTGGAAGAAGCCATTAACGTTTTAGGATGATTTACCTTCTGTTTCGCTGTGAGGGCTTCCTTGCAAGCTGTACTGTACATTTCCATCGTCTGTTTCAGCTCCAGTTTCAGCCTCCTCATCTCGGCCTCTACGTCATCCTGCATTTCGTTTTACGATTTCAACGAAAACAGATTGGATCATCGGGCCGTCCTCTAAGGCTTCTTATCTTACCATTGTCTGGGAGGCGGATGAAAACCTCTCGCTCTCGAAGGACGAGAAGTCGGGGGGCGAGTTCATTATATCCAATGATTTCCTTCCATATGACATAGTGTCGAAGCTAGCATCTGAAAAGTTTGACAGCCTTGGAGGAGTTCGGCTTGGTTCAGAGTCGTTGAAGTTTGCGTAGATCCGATCCACACTCGGCCTTCCAGAACTGACAAAGGATATGTCTGATTCCGGAACAGAGAGATCCCCGTTCGAGCTCCCATGTTTTCCTCTTCTTGTCAATGGCGACCTGTTTCATATTCATCCGTAGATTTCACTCCAACTCCTTGCAGGGACTAAGTTTAATCCAAAGTCGAAAACAACAACAGTGTCTGTACCTGAAGGAGGAATCTGATAGAGTATCAATGGACTTTCTCTGCGACTCGAATGATTGTCTCTCGGCTGCAGAAAAAAAACAACTTTATATGTTCGGGGTCTTAAGGAAAACACGGAAAAGATGATGAACACGTTTGGTTGCAAAACCTCGGTAAGCGGTAGTGGAAGGAGAGGGCAATGGCTGGGGCGGCTTTAGATTAGGCTGCTGAAGCTGGCTACGCAATGGAGCAACAGACGGTGCTGCACGAGAAGCCGATCTCATAGTTGAGATCTTTCCTTTGGATATCACGTAAACCGTGCAGAAATCGGGTGCTGCCCTCGTGATCGTTCCTGGAATATCCGTCGGTTTGCTGAACCTGCAGTAAGGGTAACAACCACACGCACACATTTTCTCGGTTTTCCGCTAATTTTCCGGCGAGAAAGAGAAGAGAAACGGGTAAAAACACCTGAGAAAACCGCTTTTGGAAGAGGTACCGATCACCAATACCTCGATCCCTGCCTGGTTCACGTACTCGACTAATGCCTTGGCCACATCCGACTCTTCCACCAGCACCTCTTTACATTGTATCTGAATGCCAATCATTTGCAAATGCAATAAGCACAGAGTACAATGCATTTTGTCTTGTACGGAATTTACACGAGGGGACTCACGTCTTTGCGTGTACAGAAGCAGCGGAAAGGAAGGAACAGTTCTCTGAAGGGACCCTCTGGCTCTTTGCATACCAAAGAAGCATCGTCGTCGATGTGGCTCAGCTCTGAAACGACGAAGAGAGACGTTCATGGATCAGAAACACGAGAAGAATGGCTGAAGATGGACGGCGAACAAAAAAGGGGAGAGGTTACTTGAGGTGGAATTAAGAGAGGGGCTGGGAGATAGAGACGAAGGCTGGATCTTGACGTGGATGAGAACGACGGATTGGCCTCTCTGCAGCAAATGGTCAACAGCCCATTTCAGTGCGTTCTGGCTGTTCTTGTCCTTGTCTATCGCCACCGCCACAAGCCCGTTGGCTCCTCCTGAAGATCGTAATATTTCAGACCGAACTGCAGATGTTTCTGCGGGCACTCAGTCCACCGCTACTAATTGTATGATACTCAAAGATTCAAAGTTCAGACAGGAAATTCGTGGAAGGCCACAGAGAAAAGACAGAGACAGGCTGAAACCGTCTGTCCTGAGATTTTTTTCTTTTTTGGATTCTGGGCTTGTCTCCTCTCTCCTGTGTTGTTCGTTTCTTGTTTCTTGTTTTTTTTTTCTGTAACAAAGCGAATATGGAGGAAGATCAAAATACGTTTGTATAAAATTATTTACCCAAAAAAAAAGGTTTGTAAAATTTGGTTGCTTCTGTTTTTTTCTGTATGAGCGCCTCTCCTTGTTTGCCGGCTTCCCTTTGGACCTCTCTTCCCTTAACTGAATTTCCAAACAAATTCCACTTTTTCCTAATTAAACACATCCCATATATATATATACACACACACATATATCTATATGTGTATGTATAATATGTATATATCAGTGTTGTTGGCTGAAAACGGTACGTATCAGGTACTTAAGATCGTAGTCAAAGGTTTCAGACAAAAGGAGAAGACTTCTTTTACTACTCGTGGGCTTACGATCGTAGTCAAAGAAAAGAACCTTCCTTGTTTCTTGCACAAGAGGCACGTCCTCTCTTTTGCCATGTCCGGATTCGGATCGTGTTCATTAGGGGTGTCAAAACGAGCCCGGCTCGCGAGCTGGCTCGTGGCTCGCCAGAAAACGAGCGATCTAAGCCGTAATTTTTTCAGGTCGTTAAAAAACGAGCCTAACGAGCCAGAGCTCATTGAACACGTGTTCAATGAACCTGGCTCGGCGAGCTGGCGAGCTGCTCAACGAGCTGGTATTTTTTTTAAAATAAATTAAATTTATATAAAAAAACTCTAATATAATTTTATATTAATTTTTTTCATATTATTTATATGATATTATATATATACTAATTATTATGATGGTGATAATTGAAAATATTAAATGATATTGATGTTTTAATAAATTTTTATGTATTTATTTAAATTTATAATTATAACGAGCTGAGCCCAAAACGATCCGAGCCAAATGAGCCGAGCCCAAAACGATCCGAGCTGGCTCGTTTGACACCCCTAGTGTTCATGCTTCTGCGTTTGCGTTCAGCATTTAGCGTTTTGCGTTTTTCCTTCTGGTCTTACGATCACAGATTTCGGGTCATCTCGCCAACCATGGCAGTTATTCTCACTTTGGGTAAATGAAAATCAAATTCATGGCTTCGCATGTAGAAGAAGATGTACCGTACATGATCCTGACCAACTTCTGCTCGGGATCCTTACAACAAAAAATTGAAAAAAAAAAGACAATGAAATCAGTTTATTTTGGATCCTATCCACAGAACATAACTGGGAACAGACAGATACTGTTTTCTAAAAATAGTAATCTTTCTGACAAAAGCAGAATTCCTAAAACGATGGTATCTCTTGTTGTTCCAAACATGTGGGATGGAGATCGTAGTCGCAGGCATCGCACGAGAACGCCCAGAACGAGCCTTGTTTCTTGCAGAAATCACATACATAAGCTTTTGCCATGTCCAGATTCAGATCATGTTCATGCTTCTTGTCCTTCACGCATCGTGGCAATGCCTCGCCTTCTTTCTTCAGACAAGCTTCAATCTCTGCGATTCTCGAGTCAGTGAACGGATAACTCCTCGCCCCGTACAAGGATATCATGGCTCTCGCGTTCGCGTTTAGCGTTTTCCCTTCCGGTCCTATGATTACAAGGGAGGGGATGAGTTTGATGTTGAAGATCCTGACAAGATCCTGGCATGTTCTGTCCTCATAAGGGATTGCCAACCAAGGCATGCTGCTCATGTTCTTGTCGAATTCTACAGGGTCTCGGTCGGTTGAGACTAGGATGACTTCGAAACAGTTTTCGGCCGTGACTGAAAGGTCGTTGTAGACTTGTACGAGGTGAGAGGTGAAGGAACGACAAGGCAGGCACCAGTCTGCACCAAAGTATAACCCTATGGTTTTGCCCACAAGTTCAGAAACTTGAACCTGACAACAATTCATTCAAAGGTCATATCGTAAGTGTGCTTTTTTCCGGTATTTTGTATGATTTCTTTACCTTACTTCCATCTCTGGAAACAACATGATATCGAGATTCATGTGTCAGGAGTTTCTCCAAATGCCCTCCGACCCGTTTGGCATCATCAATGGCTTTGAGCTCTTCTCTTCTATTTTTAGTGAAAGGATATGCTTCAGAACCATAATCCTCGATCAAACCAATCACATCATCATCATCAACAAAGAATCTGTCTGGAGAGAGAGGAACAAGAGATGGAATACTGACAATCTTATAGTTGTCTTTCAGTTTCTTGCTCAAACTCGCACTGAAAGGAACTGCAAGCCATGGCATGCACCAGAAATGCTCATAGTATAAGGTCTCATCATGATCAAAGGAGATGAAAACGATCTCCAGATCTTGTTCCCCTCGTTCCTGGAGAGTTTGGTAGAGTTTTACTAGCCTAGGCATGAATTCCTTGCAAGGCCTGCACCGGTTTGCAGAGAAGAAGAGACAAATCTTCTTCCCATGAATATATTCCACCGGTACCTGATTTCAAAGGATTTGAAACGAGCTTACCGTTCGGATGGGTGCTCAAAGCTAAATTGAGTTTCATAAAGACAACACAGAAAAAGACAACTGTTACCCCTCCACCATGTGACAGAAGGAACTCAACCCCTTCAGTTGCCAGTATGTCATAAAAGTCACCGTTTTCTGCAGATTTAACTTGGAAATCCGACTTAGCCATTCGAAACATGAACTGGGGCTGCTTCCTTTTTTTGCGGAAACCTTGACAAAGGTCATAAGCAATATGAGAAAATTGTGGAAAGAGCAGATATAATATATGTATTCACTTTCTTACAAGACAACCCTTTTACATATTCCCGTGTTTTTGTATTCAAACATCATTCAAGAAGCTCAAACCGAATCCAAACTCAGTTGCCGTGAAGAAAATGTTTCTGATTCAAAGAAAACACAAACAATCAAACATGAAGAGATATATATATATATAACGAGTCTCTGCAAACACATGAGTAAATTTCTGGTCACATGCTATGGAAGAATCTGATTCAAAGGCGCCAGGAACAAGCTCAGAACTTTTACAAGACAGAGAACAGATTCTGTCTAGTTGCAAGACTGATAGATTCTAACATGACTGTAAAGAAGACATGGCGGAAAACTCAACGTACCAGATACCGGAAAACAGAGCTTTGTCTTATTATGCTCCGTTTCTCTCTCTCTCCCGCGTTGATTCAGCATGTAAATCTCCAAGAACGGGGGATAAAAGGATATGAATGGAACAATGTATTTGTTAAGGAATTAGATCAGAAAACAAAAATATGCTCAAGAATATGCCATTACCATCTGTAAGAAAGAGATATTACCCATCAGCTAAAGCAACGCGCTTTTTCTTTATGATGTTGTTCTTGCTTATCTTGTGTCAGTACGGACGTGGACAAGTTGAAGAGATTTGACTAAAAGAAGAAAATAAAATTCTTTCCTTTTTATTTTCTTTGTTTGTTATATACATAATGTTGTTCCAAAAACCAATTAGACTCCATGGCCCAATGGATAAGGCGCTGGTCTACGGAACCAGAGATTCTGGGTTCGATCCCCAGTGGAGTCGTTGTGTTTTTCAAATGTTTTTTTATATAACCAAAAAAGGGAGTGTTTTTTTAGTTACAGTAAGATTATTACATTCAACTCTCACTTAAAAATCACTCAAACCCTTGAGCCAATCCACGGAAGCGATGAAGAGTATCCACAATCTCTCCCAAGCAAGATATCAGTTCATCTCCTTGGCGTCTCACAAGCTTCATTCTTAACTCATTACCACCACCATCTCCAGTTTCACCATCCTCTGATGGATGATTTCCTGCAACTATGGCATGTATCAGTTCAGCCTTCTCTCCGAGTTTTGCAGCCATTGCTTCTGCTTCCTCCTCAATGCTCTTCACCCCTTCCGTACAGCTCTCAATCGTTTTCTCTTCCTCGTTTTCGCTCTGAAGCTCCATCCTTTGTTGCTCTCTATCCTTCTCCTGTGTTTGGTTTGAGCGTCGTTCCGGTTTCTTCCTTGCAGCCACTTCCTTTCTTGCCTTCCGTGACAGCTTCTCTTCCAAGGCCATCGCCCGTGGTCTTGACCTTTTGGGTCCTGCTGGTTCAATATATCAACAATGGTAAGAACCCGAGCCGAAAGTTTCAGCAGAGGAGGGAATGGCGAGATATGATTTGGTTACGAGGAAAAAGAGGGTCGGAAAAGATATGATCAATGAGTTACCTAATCACACGTCGTGTTTCGAGATTTGAAAGAGTAGATAACCGATTTAGGACACTTTCCTTGGTGTAAGTGTTTTGCAGGATTTTAACTTAAGAGGCCAAAACCACGCGAATATGTGGATTGAATATGGAGAGGACAAAGGTTTAATGGAACTAATAACTAAAGATCCCACGTTCCAAACAGGATAATCAACCCAAAATTCGCATACTGAACAACAACAAAAGGTTCCTCCAGGATTTTTGTGGCAACTAAGTCAACTTCCGGGTAAATATAGGATAATCATCGATGAAGGAACAAGAATATGAGGGAAAAGGCATCACCCTGAATAGGCAGAGTTCTTCCAACAAACTCAAAGAAGAGATGAAGAATAGCGCACCTGGTTCAGCAATGGCATCAAGCTTGTTCACATCCTCTTGAGCGTCCGGATCGCTATCGGGTTCGGTCCCAGCTTTATCCTCTTGGACCATGACCACTGCATCAATGGCTTCATAAAGCCCGTTCTCGAAAATGCCTGGCAGCTCTAGTCTCTTCCTGCTCTCACTACTCAGGGACCAATAGGAACATCCATCTCCAGCCTGAGACTCCCACTGTTTGATCAGTTTGTAACCTGACAGCAAAGTGTCCCATTTCCTACGGCATTGGTTCAGAGTCCGGTGAACATCCAAAGCGTTGCAGTTTTCGGATATTATTTCCCATTTCTGGAAGCTAGACAGAGCGTTTGAGCAATCCGCTTCGACGGCAGCAACCTCGTTCACCAGAATGAGACAGTCTTTGACAGTCCAGTCCGGGGCTACCTGAGAACGTGTTCTTCTCGAACCAGAGGTGCCCCCCTCCATCTAAAGCCCACTGCAATTAAAACAGCTCAACTCAATATCAAAGTGGTGAACTAAAACATGAGAACTCATTGTCACTGGAACCATTAACAAGAGTAACATCTACTGAGACACACATACATAGAGAGCATATACGTACACTGGACCAAAACTCGACAAGAACAAACGAAGAGTAGGACGAAACGAGAAGAGAAAATATCCATAAACTTATCTGTCTAGAGAGCTGCAAGTTCAAGAATTTACCAGAAATTCATAACTTAGCCCAAAAACCCATGTTGGTAAAATGATGAAATATCACTTCAAGCATCGAACACAGGCAACTTTCCAACGTCTGATAGGTTTAAACACAGGATGAAAGGCTTAGTCACAACATAAATCCGAAATTAAAGGCGGTTCCAGGAAGATTTCCGAGGTGAATCTCGATCAAAATTCTACAACCCTACTGAAATAAAAAAGGAAATCCGAAAAAAAAATGCAAACCATGGCCGGAAAGGGGAAAAGGGTTCATGCTTTGAAACCGAGTGAGAGGATCATTACCAGAGTAGCTGGAAATGGCAGTGCCACGCGCTTAGACGCTCAAGAACAGAACAGAACAGAACAGAAAGAGGAAAGGAAGCCATTGATGTGTCTCGGTGAAGACGAAGCCCAAGAAAGGATATGCGCTTCAATGTCCACATAAGGCCCATTTTTATTACAGATCGGGCTTCATTGGCCACTAATTATTCCATATCGCTATTAAAAAGTCAATTAATTAATACATAAATAAATAAATTAATTAATTAATTTAAGGGGACCCGTCCCGTCTTGGGCTTTAAGCCAGTGTGTGAAAAAAGGATCTCCTTCCTCCTACGCCTTGACGACGACGTCGACGACGACCCCTTAATCTGATTTCTACTCGCCGGCACAGTTCTCGGGTTGTCTAGGGTTTTTGGGTTTCGAATCGATTTCGAAGTTCTACAACAATGGATCTGAATCTGAACGCTCCCCACTCCATGGGAACAACCATCATCGGCGTCACCTACAATGGCGGTGTCGTCCTCGGAGCTGATTCCCGCACCAGTACAGGTTTGCGATATACATTTGTTCTTTGTGTTGATTTCCGTTTACTTTGGGTTGAGCTTTTTCCATTGTTTTGTCCGGAAAATTTTGATAAATCTATGGAATTGAAGTGGGCAATCCTCTGCAGGGATGTACGTCGCGAACCGAGCTTCGGATAAGATCACGCAGCTCACTGATAATGTCTATGTTTGCCGCTCTGGATCGGTAATTATCACTATTTTCCTATCAAACTCGTCTCTTTCTCACGAAAGTTTTCGTCTTTTAGGGTTCCTTAGATATGTGTTAGAGTGAAAACACTTTGCTTGCTCTGGAGGTTGTTTATCTTTTCGCCATTGAAGCCACAGCTAGTCTTCCTCCTCTATGTGTTTTCGTAAGGATTTTGCAGCGGGAGAAGATTTGATATGAACATTTTACCGAGTATTGCAGGCTCTTTTTCATTTTTGCAGGCTGCCGATTCTCAGGTTGTCTCTGATTATGTTCGCCACTCCCTTCATCAACATACGTGAGTGTTTCTATCTTCCGTTGGCCCGACGAAAATGCATGAGTTGATACTACATATGATATCTTATACTTCTGGAGGTGATGTGATATTTTTTGGGATCTGTTTATGTGCTGCAGGATTCAGATGGGGCAACCGGCAACCGTTAAAGTTGCTGCCAATCTCATCAGGCTCCTCTCTTACAATAACAAGGTAGTTTGCGTCGAAATTTACAGTTTGGTTTTGGTTGTTTTACTGTCCACTTGAACTCAAAGATTGCGAAATGAGAGAACCTGTATACCCTGCATAAGAGTGAAGTCTTTGATTTTGTTCATTTATATTCACAGCCTTTTGTTGGAAAGATCAAAGACTATGCGAAAACACTGGTAACTTTTAGTTGTAAAATTTGACCGCGGGGGAAAACGGGTTGGAAACATTAGTTCATCACTTAGAGAATGATCTGATCTCTGATGTGAAGCTTTCTCTTGCTAGTTTGCGTGATTTCTTCTATGACAAGCTGTATGCTACTAGTTTGAGTGGTAATGGTTTTTGTTTTTGGACAATCTTCCGTTTCTTAGTTTCTTGTGCGTTATCCAGTCCCATTATTTAAACCTCTAACAGGAACATTGTTGAAAATGCTATTGTAGGTGACTCTGTGTCTGTGCAGTGTTGTAGAATCATGTATCTGTTTTTTTTTTCAGATTTCTGCACCTTGAATGATGATGATATGTCCCAATATCAGAACTTTAGAGTCCATCACTTGTGGTTTGGCTTAGATGCATAATCAATGCGTTAGCTTTTGGTGATTCCTAGTGGATTTTTGTGTGGATGGCTGACTGAATGATTGTTGTTTGCTGGACAGAACATGTTACAAACTGGTCTAATCGTCGGCGGTTGGGATAAATATGAAGGCGGGAAGATCTATGGAATACCTCTCGGCGGAACCCTAGTCGAGCAACCATTTACTATTGGAGGTATGACATATAAATATAAGGACCTGTTCATGTCTCCATATGCTTGATCTCGGATTTTGTTATCTGAATTTGTGGTCTGTTGCTGCTAGATACTTGGCAAAACCAACCTTGTGGCTTTTCTGTTGTCTTGCAGGTTCTGGTTCGAGCTATCTGTATGGTTTCTTTGATCAAGCATGGAAGGAAGGAATGACCAAGGAAGAAGCCGAGGTTAGCTGTTTCTCATTATATGATCGCTCTGTCTGCGAAAATTATGCCATAGTTTATTGCTAGCTGGTTATTTAACTAAAACCATGACAAGATATTCCATCCACACACCCAATTTGCAGCAACTGGTTGTGAAGGCAGTTTCACTTGCCATTGCGAGGGATGGTGCAAGTGGAGGCGTCGTTCGCACTGTCATAGTAAGATTTCTCGGGTCATCTCTCTTTCAGTGATTTCCTTCTATTCCGACACCGAATACTCTTCATTCTTCTGCTCGGATGTTCCAACAGATCAACTCAGAGGGAGTTACTAGAAACTTCTACCCAGGGGACAAGTTGCCGCTGTGGCACGAAGAGTTGGAGCCTCAGAACTCATTGCTGGACATCCTGAACGCAACCAGTCCCGAGCCGATGGCAATGTAATCGCAACATCTTATGACCGCATCTCATTTTTTTTTTCCTCCGGACAAACCGTTTAGCTTTTGAACTTTGGTGGTTATAAATCCTAGTATGAACTCTGTTTGGGAAAATTATTGTACGAACCGACCGACCGACCGGCCGGCCTGCTTTGTCAATTGGTATCACCGTTGTTTTGCTTCCTCTAATAACACCTTCTTGCCCATATAGATGTATCATATGGTATAAACCAGCAAGCCTTATTGAGTCAAGACCTAGCTGCAGTACTTGCTTTAAGAATAGAGATTCACCCCATTTGTGATTTTTTATTACATTTCCTCGGATCTGGATTTTTGTTTACATTTCTGGTGAAGTGCTCCCAACATGTCCCAAGACTCTGTATACAGCGAATGATCTTTCAGAATCGCATCATTTGGTTCCAAAATATAAACTTTAACTATAAAAAGAGAGCGCTTTCCTTTCACGGCTAAAATTTGCAGCAGCGGGTGGAATCGATTCATAAGGCGATTTAGAGACAGAGCGGTTGTATCCTGTGAGCCGCAAAAGACTTGTTCCTTGTTTTTTCTTTGCTCCCACATCTTTGGAACACATCCTCATTCGCAAAAAAAAAAACCACCTTTTTTTCTTGGTGTCCTGAAGAGGAGGAGAAACATAAGGAGAAGATGACCAGCGGGGTTGCAGGGCATAACGTGTTCGTTTATGGCAGCCTCATGGCCGACGACGTCGTTCGCATCCTCCTCAATCGCGTCCCTCTCTCTGTCTCCGCCGTCCTCCCCGACTTGTCTGACTCTCTCTCTCTCTCTCTCTCTCTCTCTCTCTCTCTCTCTCTCTCTCTCGATTTGGGTGTAAATTCATGGTGGGTTTTGGAATTGCAGTCACAGGTTCAGCATCAAGGGTCGTGTTTACCCGGCGATTCTGCCAGTTGAGGAAGACAGAGTCAACGGCAAGGTTTCACTCTCTGTCCCCTCCCAAATCTTCGTTATTTGTCTCTTCTTCTCTCTCTTCTGAACATCGAAAAATCAGAAACATGATGGGAGAGAATCCGAAATTCATAGTGTCGGATTCTCAATTTCATCTCTTTGGGTTTGGGTTTCGAGGAGAGACCCATATCCAAAGATTTCACCCTTTTTTTTTCCCTCTCTCTTGGGGCTTTCGTGATCTTTAGAAGAGCGGGATTTGATATGAGGAATTTCTATTCTGAGTTTTTTTTTTTTTGCAGGTGTTGATGGGAATCTCAGACCCTGAACTGTACATCTTAGATGAGTTTGAGGATGTTGAGTATGAACGTAACACTGTCGAGGTTTCGCTAACGGTGAGTGTAATAATCAGACCAATCTCCTCTGTCTGATTTCTACTACAATCCAATCCCTCATTTGATTTTGATTTTGATGCAAAAAAAAAAAAAGGGTTTCAATCTTTTTGCATCTACAGGATAGTTCGGAGAAGCTGCAAGCTGAAACCTACATTTGGAGCAACAAAGAGGATCCAGACCTGTACGGAACCTGGGATTTCGAGGTCAGCACTTCATCTTCTCCGTACCCATTTGCAGTTTTCTGCTGTCTGTGTTTGCTCACTCGCTGTGACATGTTGTGATGTTCCAAAGGAATGGAAGCAACTTCACATGGAAGGTTTCGTCGAGATGACAAAAGGGTTTGCTCAAGAGATAGATTTGCCCGAATCGAGGACGAGAGTGGCCACATACGAGACGTTCTACCCTCAAAAGGGTACCGAAAACTCTCCGTCCTCTGAATGATTATCCAATTCTTTCATATTGTCAATGGAAGCACTGAAAATCAGATGAGAGATTTGTGGTTTAACCATATGACAGGAGAAGAAGATTTTGTTGAATGTGAAATGGTTTCTTTGATATTAGTAAAGGTTTTGTTTTGGATATTAGGAGGAAGTAATGAATGGGTTTGGGTTTGAAACTGAAGAAGAGATCTCAAGAAAACGCCCTTCTCTTCTCTGCCTGGAAACAGATGCAGCTTTTATGGTTCATTGTTTTGTTGGTTTTGATCTTGATCTGTGCAGTGTTTATTATATATATATATATATATATGTGTGTGTGTGTGTGTGTGTGTGTGTGTCTATCAACCTGTAAAAATGATGGCTTTCTAAACCCGAATTAAATAATATCTAATCAAATTCGATTTAAGAATTGATCTGATATAAAAAAAAAAAAATAGATCAAAATAACCTAATCGAACATGAACACAGAAAATAATTGAAAAAATCAATTACCAAATCGGACCAAAACACAAAACAAAAACCACCATCAAAACCGGAAAACCATAAATAACCAAACCGTACCGACCGACCACCACATTCGTGTGATCTAATATGGGCCCAATTCAGGCCCATTATCTGCTGAATTGATCTTCCATTTGGGCCTAATAACTACCGTAACTAGCAAAAATTGTCACCAATTTCGACCGGCAACGGAAATTTTGTTTCAGAATTTTTACAACCACACAAAAAAAAAAAAAAAAAAAAAAAAAAAGGAGAAGGAGAGATTGAGAATTCTGGAGGTGTCAATCTCGCTTGCTCCCATGTGGGCCGTAATCAGGCCTGTATTGCCCAAAACTGGACAATTGATCTCATATAAGCCCAATAAAGGCCCATCAAGGCCCAATATATGTAGTAGCGCGCGAGTTGGTGTCCACCAGTTCGTCCGGTACGAAGCTTGACAACAGCCAACAGGCAGTAAGGGCTAAGCGAGCAGAAGAAATATATGGCGACGTGGATATCTTTTGCGCCTCCAAATTCCTTTTATTTACGGCTCATGCCACCGCCGGCGTCGGCGTCGGGCGCTTGGAGGCGCCGGCGTATTATTAAGCCCATCAATTGTGGTCCTTCTCTTGAGCAACAACAGGACCTCCAACTCCGAGAGCAGGTACTATAAACTGTCGTGTGTTGAAGTCGTCGAACATAATCTGGGGTTTGTCTGAATTCTGGAACTCATGAGTTTTCTGTAGTAGTCTGACGACAATCATTGGTTTCTTGGATGTGATTTTGGTGAAGGATGGCGATGAGGCGGTGATTCTGTGTGAACTCTGCAACGGGAAAGGATGGTTGCTCTGTGACTTTTGTAAAGGACAGAAAACGAATGTCCAAGCTGAGAACAAGAGAATTTACAGGCGATGCCCTTCTTGTAAAGCTGTGAGTACTTTGGGTCATTCGATTCATGATAATGTCAAAAACTGAACAATGTATAATGGGTTGATGCCAGTATATTGAAACCTCAAAGTTCTGTAGCTCAAGCCAGTGACTTGGTGGTTTTCACAGTATGATGAAATAGCTGAAAAAAGATTGGAAATTGCTCTCTGATATGTAAATCTTTTCGGCTTTTTTACAGGTGGGATGTGTGTTGTGTACAAAGTGTAAAGTGTTCAAGTGTGTTACTTTCCCTAACCCGGAAGATGGCGTCGAACTTCAGTTTTGAAAACCTCCTCGTGGCTTCAACATTCTTTCGTCGAGGACCCATTTGAGTTTCAGGTTCTCTTCTTTTCCCCATTGCATAAACTGTTGTCTCGGCCGGGCGATTGAAATTTCGATGTATATCCAACCATATGTATAATCCCATTGTTACATTTTCTTTGTTGATCTAACGGCTGCATTGGATTATGTTTAAGTTGCTATATCCATAGATCATATCAACCGCTGAAAAGAGTTGGGCCATCGCGGCATAGACTCTTGAGTCTCCTTGCATCTTTATTGAATAACATCCTATGGAGGTACACTCCAATGGTCTAAGTTTCCAAGGCATATGGGTGTGGGTATTCAGGTTATCTTGCTGGCTTTCTTGAACCTGGACTACAAGTTGCATAGTCATTATAGGAGATAAATGCACATTTGCAATCTCATCTGGTTCAGATGTCATATGGGTAAGGTAAGAACATCTCTCTTGCTTGACTCAAGAACATCGCGAAGAACGAATAGAAGTTATTATGTTAAACTTAATGTGCCATTGACTGCAAATTTATACGATTGGTCTCCATAGGGTACCGGCCTTTTTTCGTGGTAATCACGTCTATTGTTCCATGTGTAGTTTAACAATCACATTCCACTCGCAGATTAAAACTTACGAATGCCGTAGTTGTTCACATGATTGTACAGTTTTACTGAACATAGAATTCCTACATGCCAATGCACATTGTCAGTCTGGAATGAACGTAGGTGTGCATATATATAGGAACGTGAACCATCCTTTTTCTTTTTGTGAAAAAAATAATCTCGTGTATTACGACGGATTTTTATCTAGTAACATTTCAATATTCAAAGAGAACGCGTTCATTTTTTGGTATATAATAATTAACATATTCTAAAATTTTAAGTTCTTTTTTATCATTTTTCATTGGTGTTTCAGCTTTTTAGACTTTTTTTTTCTTTAAAAAAAATAATTATATCAGGCAACGATTTACAAATGATTGGGCCATGGTGGGCGTTATACTTTATATAGGCCCATTAATAAATTAGGGGCCCAACATGAAGGTCGATGCCATGCCACCACCTACCCAATGGACTTTGAAACGTGTGCCTTTTAATTCGTCCACCTGTCCACCCCCCAACCGTAATCCTTCATTTACCCTAATATAAACGCCTCCAAAACCTAGCCACCAATCACGATAATTACAATTATAATAATTTATTACTCCCTCCCGTTCACGATTGTTACAGAAATATATAAAAAAAAAAATCATATATACCCCTATTAAATTATATTGTGATTAATTTTTATTGAAGTTAATTTTTTTTAAATTATTTAGAAAATCTAAAACGATATCTAATTAGTAACGAAAAAATATTCTGCAAAACTATGGAGAAACGGATTCTACCATTGTGAAAATGAAATATTGTACAGAGCGTAGACAAAAAATGTAGTAGATCTAAAATAACATCGTATTTAATTTTGACCGTTTGGGTAGGTCTCTGCTCGTAAAACTGCCACGTGTCGGTCGGCCATCCTCCCTCCACGCCCTTCGCATTTCCATGATATTAAAAAAATACAAAATAATTTTAGTATCTTTGGGTCCATAAGGCTAATTATAAAACAGTGTGCGAGAGAGAGAGAGGGAATTTGGTATTCTGAAATCTCCGGCGATCTCCTTCCTCACGAGTTTTGTTGGCTAATCCGTCTTAGCTATGGCAGCCGCGAAGCTCCTGGCTTTTTTCTTCCTCGCCTTGGTTTTCGTCGCCGGTGTTTCCGCCGATGCCGGAGTTGGCAGCGAGGATGCCGGAGGATCCGACGGCGGAGATTCGTCGGTTTCTGAGATCCAGATTGATCGGCTCAACACCAAGATCCGTGCTCTAGGTTTGCTTCTCTTTCGATTGAGTAGTTCCTTCTTTTGTTCGGATTTTTTATTCGTATGTTGTGACTTTTGGATTCTGCATGTAGCTTTCTTTAGTTGGATTGGGAGCAAACCCAAATTGATGAGAAAAATCCCAAATTGATGATGTTGTTGACTCACGAGCTTTTATGTTTTCGTTGGCGAAGAATCCCAGATTGATGGGAAAACCCGAGAACTTAAGGGTAAGGAGGATTTGATATCTGAGAAGGAGAAACTTCTCCAAGAAAGACAAGACAAGATTGCTTCCTTGCAGGCTGAGGTCTCATCGTTGCAGGTATGCATCGTATAGTTTCATTTCCATCTCTTCGGTTTTGACGTTTATGTATATATTTTCAAGGCTAGATTCGTCATATTGTTTTCAGCTTTTGAGTTTTTCTTGATTGTGTTTATGTATGCTTACACCTGAGCTACATCATGGCTTACTCGCTTGGCAGAAAAAGGGTTCATCAGATTCTGCAGAACAGTTGGGAAAGGCTCAAGCACGGGCGGTCGAACTAGAGAGACAGGTGAGTCTAAACTCCAGACAAAAACTTTTCTAAGGACTAGGAATTCACAAACAGCATTCTTATCTTGGTCGGGTCACTTCTGGGTACAGATTGAGACACTCAAGAAAGAGCTAGCGAAGAAAACCAAGGAGAATGAATCCACAGAAGCTAGGAATAGTGAGGCTGAGAGGAAGCTAAGTGAATTAAACTCGAGCCTGGAGAAAGTATGTTCTTTTCATCATCTCATTCCATCTTATATCTGACTAACCATTTCAGTCGTCCTGTCCTTTGGAGTTTCACATTTTGTTAAATCTTGTTGTGCTAATGTACAGGCTTCTGCTTATTGATGTTCGTTTTCTTCCCTGTTTGATTTCATGATGTTTGTGGACTTTATCTTTATGCTTTGGGCAGTTGTGGTTTTATTTCTCTTTTCGGTTTTCTTACATCATCATATTGCTTATGTCTCATTATCTCTGTGGTCTAGTGTTGTTCCCAGTTATAGTAAGCCTGTAAAAGGCAAAAGCTTCACACTTTGTTTTCTTTTCTCTAAACTCATATCTATTTGTATAGGCATTATGGAAAGTTGTTTTTTTCTCTCTTTAAACTCATAGATCTAGGCTGTATGGGGGTTTTAAATAGCTGCCTCTCACTGAAATTACTATTCCATTGTGCTTCATTGGATATGGTTTTACCATCATCTGTGCTTGTTTTTATTTGTGCTACTTTTGTAATAATCTTCTGTAGATGATTGACTGTAGTGCCTGATATGTTGCAGTTTCAGAAAACAAATGATGAGCAGAAGAGCAAAATACTAAAACTTGAGCGAGCTCTCCAAATTGCTGAAGTATGAATAATGATACTTTCTAGTGAGTTTGTGTCTTCATAGTTCAGAGTTCAAATATTGACTCACGCTTGGTTCTGTCAAAATAAATTTTCAGGAAGAAATGTTGAGGTTAAAGCATGAAGCAACCTCAAAGAGTAAGGAACTGCATGAGGTAATAGTTTGGGATCGCTTTTGTGTCTTTCTTTTGTCCTTGTGGCTGGTTATGAGTATCAGAAGCCAGATTTCAGAATAAATGAATGAACAGGTGTTTGTTTGGAAGCTTATTTGCATTGTTTGTTTTGTAACTTTTTTATGCAGCTTATGTCTGATCGTCTAGTTCTCTATCATTGTATTGCATATTTCCTTGTTTAAGATAGATTAATAAATTTTGCAACCAGAATCCAGCAGATAGCTAAATGTTTTTAAGCATTCCTATTGTATGGCCAGGTTCATGGTGCATGGCTTCCCCCATGGCTCGCTGTGCACTGGATTAATTTCGAGGTAAGCTCATTGTAGTCGGTTACGATTTGCAACGTGAGAGATTTTCCCTTAACTTGGATACATCTTGCAACCAGACTCTTGCAGAGACACACTGGAATAGCCATGGGAAACCAGCCCTGGACACAGTACTTCAAAAGGTAACGGTTAATCCAGATGTATGAAATTCTTGATGCTGAACAGTTTAAGGGTTAATGTTAAGGAAGTTTTATTATCCATCAGGCAACAGAAGCTAAGGTTCAAGTCGGAAAGTGGGCTGAACCTCATGTGGAAAACATTAAAACCGTAAGTAGCTTATTCGCATTGTTCTTGACTGTCTTTGGTAATCTGCATTGGATACCAGACAATGCTTTAATTGGACATCACCTGTTTGCACAAACAACTGAAACTAGAATATTATGGGACTCCTAATCTATATTTTATTTCCCACTTCTTGTAGACATACATTCCAGCTGCAAAGGAGGGGTGGGTGACAGTTACGACATATGTTGAGCCACATGTGCAAACGCTGTCCACTAAAGCTAAAGAAGCTTACGAAGCATCCAAAACCACTCTTACTCCTCATGTTGTCAAGGTTCAAGAATTTGTAGACCCATATTATCAGGTGGGTCTCTCTATTTATGATTTCGCTGATAAAAATTTGCGAGCTATATATTGGTAATACTACCTGGTTGATGCGTATTCCTTTACACTCTCCAGGAGACTAAAAAGTTCAGCAAGCCGTACGTTGATCAGGTGGCCACCGTCGCAAAACCCCATGTTGATAGAGCGAGGGTTGCCTTGAAACCTTACACGAAGAAGGTGACTCATGTCTATAAAAAGTTTCTCAAGTCTGCCTCAACATATCACCATCAGGTCTGAATCCAAGACTATTACATATTGATAGTACCCTAGATAGGATTCTATCGGAAAATAGAAAATAGAAGTGTTTTTGCCACTACTTTGTTTTAGACCGACACATCCTAGACGTTCTAAGGGAACGTCGACTTCTAGGTTTTTCTTTGGTCAGCTCCTGTGATGGTTTTATTGAATAATAAGAATGCCTATACATAGACTTACAAAACTCAATAACTTTTCGTCCATTCATAACCCATAAACTCATAATAAATAAATAAATAAACCAATTAAACCCAATTAGTTTAGAAGTCCATCACATTTATATGTATAGGTCTGAATGAACCTTCTTGAACTGGAACGCAAAGTGGTGTTTATCAATATGATTATGATAAATGATGGCTTGATAAGAGCTTATATAATCTGCTTGTTATTCTGAAAAGGTTCAAGGGATGGTCAAAGAGAAATTAACGAAGCACGAGCTGACAGAGACTCTTGCAACCAAAGAGTTCGTTTGGTTCATGGTATTTCGCTTTTCTCAACTTCCGAGGCACTATGGTTGTACATACTTTTGTCTCAAAACTTAAAAGATCTTATCTATTGTCTGCAGGCGTCGGCATTATTAGCTTTGCCCATCTATGCTGCATACAAAATCTTCTGTTCTCTTTTCTGGTAACTCTTCCCAATTAATCAATTCATGACAGAAGTATTAACGTTCCTTTACCTTACCACAAGATTTTTTTTCTCCAAATATATTGGTCTGTGTATGAATTTGATGGAAATAAGTCACGTTTTTCAGCAAAAAGACAGAAAAGCCTGCAAGACATCCTCATCATCATGGTCGTCGTAAGGCTAAAAGGGGTCACTCCGACAAGTGAAGTACATGATTGTGTGTTGTTATTCTCTATTCCACGGTGAAATTATTCGAGGTATGTCCATACATGTTACCATCACGCTTAGAAGATTGAAGTAAGAACTTTATAGCTTCAATCATTTTAGAACCAAGCTAGAAATTCTAGTTGATGGTATGGTTTAATCTACTGATGCACATTAGAACCAAACTTCAAGGTGTTCTTGGACAGTGTCTATTATCATAGAACGGACGAGCTCTAGCGTCTGCATCTGCGTCTGCCCTTTGGACGCTAACGCAAACGCTATAATGATGGATGCCCATTAACCATTTCTCAAGCGCATCGCCATTTTTCGCTGGCAGGTACTGAGTTATAATACCTTCGATACGGTTACTTCCTGAGCTCGCGGACGGGGAACTATTGCCGAAAGCTCTGTGCAAAAGTTATTTTTACTCTTGTCCTTTGGTAATTTCATGGTTTTGTTTTTTAATATACAAGAAGATTAGACGGATAACATCCTTTACAGGGATCTAGCAGGGTTTGGTGTATTTGTGGGCATATCTTGTACGTTTTCATGTGGGTAGATTTTGTTATTTTCTCCCTCTCCCTGTCAATTTTCTTCTTGAAGAATTAATTTCATGGGATCAGATAATAAAAGCTTTCTGGTTTCATATAATCCTCAGATGGATCAAGGGTTTTCGAATTCGGCTTCTAGTCCACGAGGGTGCTTTTAGAGAAATTATACCATCCAATTCCAGTTTGGTTATTTTGAATTTAAATTTTTTAGTTTTAAAAAAAGTTGTATTGATCCGATTTTTATATTGGAATCGGTTTGTTTCTTTTTTTGATTTTAGAAAAATTATATAATCCAGTTTCAGTTCTTGGGTTTGTTTGAAATGGTTTGATTTGGGTCATTGAAATTCTGATATTCCATAACTCTCTTTCAGAAATCACTCACTAAAAACCCTTGCTGTTGCATAATTTTCTTCGAGAAGGTTAAGAAACAGTTCAAGAACAAAAATCATATCATTTTATATTTGATTCTTCGCCTGATGGAACGTTCCTGTTTTTTTTTTCTTGAACGGCTAAACAAAATGCATCAAAGGTATTACCAAACAGTGGAAAAACAGAAACCAATGAACTTTCTTACCAAACAAAACATAACATCTAAGATCTTTTTATATATATAAACTTACCAAAAAGAAAACATAAACTTATATCGACTTCAAATTCATCAATACGAAGGCCAGTACCCATCCAAGTCCATGCAATGGTTCATCTCCACCCCACCACCGAACCCATTCTCCGCCACCGCGAACGAAGTGCTCCCACCACCTCCCATCCCCGGCTCGCCAACCGCCACATCCTCCAGCGGCACGGGCGCTCCACCGAGGTTAAGGTTCAGACCCGAGCCTGGCAAGTTGCTTGGCCCTCCGGCTAGCTGGTAGCTCAGCTGATGCTGCAGAGTTTGTTGCGAGCCCATTGGACCAGCCGCAGCCATGGCACTGGTCGAGGCTCGGAAGAAACGAGAGAGCTCGGCCAGCTGAGCATTAGCCATTAGGGTTCGGTTGAATGTGTGGTCCTGGGAATGGATTAATGACTGTGGAGGGGGTGGAAGGAGATTTGGTGAGATTTCAATGTAAGGATTTGTGGTTGAAGAAGCTCTTGTCGTGTGATTGTTAGTTGTATACTTCTTTGTTCCTTCGCTCTTCTTGAACACTCTACAGACAACCCATTCGTCTTGCTGCGTTATTAGAACAAAATTAGATTCTTGTCTGAATACGAATCTGTGTAACATAAAGTTCTATCTATACAGGCGGGCATTTCTGTGTTATATTCTCGCGATTTGCGTCTAACTAAGTCTCAGTATAAAACAAGCAGAATCAAAATTTTTTCTTTTATGTTTTGGTTTGAGTTTGATATTATACGTATAGAAGGAAAATAGACGTAGACGTATACATTAATACGTACCCTGGAGGTTCTGTAGGAGGATTTGGAGTGAATACGGTACTCGTGCATGACCCAGCTCGTCTTCTCGCCTCTAGGAGCTCTTCCTCTGTAGAAAACCAAAGTCTTCTTCATCCCGACCAACTCCGAGGTTGTGCTGTTGAATATCTCCTTGTCTTTTCCTGTGGTTTTCCAGTATCCCGTGTTCGTTGCTCGGTTCGTTCTCACCCCCGTCGGATACTTCCGGTCACGTAGGCTGAAGAAATACCATTCTTTCCCTCCCATTTTCGCCTTCTCTGATCCATCCAAAAGAAATATATATATATATATGTCGTTTTCTTTTGTCAGTTAATCCATTAATTTGCTTATGAATCAGGAAAGAAACGAAGATAAAATGTTCTGTTTGATTATCCATAAAGGGTCAAATTAGTAGATGAGAGAAATGAACGTACGTACGTGCGGCAGTCTTCTACGTGTGTGATTTGGATAAGACTATTTCATAAAGTGCAAGAATATGGGATTCACAAGGAAAAAGAGGAATTAATGATTAATAAAGAAAAAAAGTGTAACTAATATCGCATTTTAGCAGAAATAGCAAAAGCCAAAGCTATTCCAAGAATGGAGTGGGCGTCCACGCATGCATGCTACCGTAAAAGGAAAAAGAAACAAAAACACTTAGAATGAAAATTATATATATATATATATATATACATTACCGAAAAAGAGAATAAAGAAACACTTGAATGAAATGAAATATGGGTTGGTAGTTGAGAGGTGACAAAATCATTTTTAAGGTATTGGGTTCGATTCCGCTGATGGGAAAGAATGTAATTTCTGGACCAAAATGATCTATACATAAAGGTTGATCTCGAACCTAATGTGGATGTAGTCGGACCGAAAACACGGGGAACCATCCTGATTATAAAAAAAAGGGCATATATGTATGCATACTTAGTGTTATATGTATGCATGCAAATATATGTACAAATATGTGCGTGTGTGTATATATAATATAATGTGCAAAATTTTCTAAACAAGCAAATATTTTTCATCAGGGTTCACAAAATCAAAGCCACGGAGAAGACACCGAAACCCTACAGAACCTACCGAAACCCTACAGATCAATCGCCGATGTTGAGAAATGAATTCTTAATTGTTGTAGTTACCAAAAAAACAAATCTTAATTGTTGATGGGAAAAATGAAAATATACATCTTTACCCAAAAAAAAACATGAAAATATACACGTGTATATATATATGTACAGATCTTTAGGGTAACGTACCGGGAAGTTCCCAGGGTTCGGATTTGTTGAGATCAACATCGGCAATTGCTTTTCCAGTGAAATTTGCGTCGGCAATCTTATTCATCAAGTAATACGAAATCAGCTCCTCATCGGTCGGATGAAATCGGAAACCGGGAGGCAAAGCTTCTCCTTTGTCCTGATTTCCCTCCATATATATCTATAATTATCGTTACTGCACTTGTACATATATTTTGGGGCAAGTTAGATCAAGATAATAATCATTAATCGACATAAAAGAATTGACCAAAAACAAACATCAATATATCCGTTGAGCGGCCCAAAGTTTTGAAAATGCTTTGTTTGATTAAATGATCTATGCTTTTTGTATTTATATTCTTACAAACATTGATGGAACATGTGGGAATCGAAGAAGAATGAGAAGGAGAAGAAGAAGGAGAAGAAGAAAAAGAAGAAGAAGCTATACATACACACACATACATATATATATATATATATTGATGTACATGTACATGCATGGAGAAGCATATATAGTGTGAATCATGAGCTTACTTGCTTGGGAGAGGAAAAACCAGACATCCAAATTCTATGAGATTAGGGTTTTGGTGGTATTATATATATATACCATGAAGACAAGGATGCCTTTTGTTGGAATTCTATGGAGGAGAAGACAAAACTAGGGTTTTTATTTAGTTGTTTTACTTTTGTCGTTCTTGCTAAACGAAGAGAGAAATTGTCAAATTATGACAGCTTTTTTTTTACGAGAATTTGTTCATAGAGAAGATGATCATAAGCAGGCCGAGGGACTATTTATAAATAAATTAATCGATGACACAAAATATAAAAAAATATAAAACAAAATAAATATATTTTGGTACAAGTGTGTGTGCATGAAGCTCTCACCTAATATGGGTCTTCACGTACACGATACATGCAACTAAACATCTCTCATCTCCAAATTATATCCTTTGTTTAATTTGTGTAGTTGGTCAAGAAATTCTTCATTTGTCACCCTTATTTAATTCGTATTACCTTTTGCATACGTATATACGTCCATCCATCCATATACATGGACATACGTACGAATATACACGTAGAGGTGTCAATCGGTTCAGTCCAACCCGAATCCGCACTCGGCTCGAGGGTTTTGGATTCAGACTCGGGTCGATCAGATTTTTTTCAGATCTAATTAACCAAACCCGACCCGACTTTATAGATTTTGACCTAGGGTATAAGTTGGACCGAACCGGACTTCGGGTCAAATTTGACAACCCTATCCATACGGTCTATTATCGTTATATCATGCATATTTTCAAGAATAAATGACTTAGTTATAAGGTTATATCAATGTATTATCTAACATTGGATCCTATACGTATGTGCATGTTAGTATTATTATGTGTGTGTGTATCCACCAAATCAATGAATTTCTAATCATTTCACAAAGATTTATAATTATGTTTGTTTATAGTCTTGTTTTACCCATAATTGGTTCCATTACCATATATGATCGGATCAATGGCGTGGCTTATTCACTTCAATCCCTTTGTTAGCGTTCATTTATACGTGATAATAATACAATATAAAAATTATAATATATTAGTTTGGCTTTATTGAGACAAATATATGAAGTTAATACTAATTTTCGTGAATTTTGTATAAATTAATTTAAGTAATTATAAGGCTAATTTTGTATAGTGATCACTCTTAAGTCTTGAACTGATTGCTATTTATAATCTATATCTGTCCACGCTTAAAACATTAGAACATTTTGCACTGACCATCAAGTTTCATTTTAAAAGATAAAGTTTGGAATATTATTTATTATCAATATTATTACATTGAGCATTTTAAAAATGTTGATTTTGCAATCTAACTAATTTTTACACATGAATCGTATCCAATTCAAAACAATAATTTTTTTCCGGGCACTTTCGTTTAACTACCACAATATCTTTCATATGTTTTTCCTGATAATTTCAATCCAAAAAAAAAAAGACAACGCATTGACATTCAGATTACACTTAGGGGTTGAATGGATAATTTTTTTTTTGAATTTTAAAATAAAAAAAAAAACAAAACAAAAATGATAATTGTAAATTTAGTTTTCCTAAAAATTTGAAAAATTACTTTAATGAAAAAATCAACTAAAAACCAAAAATTCTATTTTTTGGATTTACAAATATTACAAAAAAAATAAACAAAAATCAAAAACCAAAACCTCAAAATATCAATCTTAATCTTGTTGTTTGTTGCAATTTGTAAAGGTACACGAACATCCAACTGAAGGAAATAAAAAAGAAAGCCGATAAAGCAAACGAGGTATTCTTTTGATTATCAAAGACAAATTAATACTTAGAATAACTACAACAGTTGACACAATACAAAATAAATTCTTAAAATAAAACACTTTTTACTTTTACGTATTGTTTGTTCTTGCAAACAAGTTATATACATGTACGTGCCTGCGACCATATAACAGTTGGAGAAAATATAATTCCATTTTGGATAGCAAAAAAAACACCGATACTAATGAGGAAATGTGGAAATAATAATAATAATAATAATAATAATAATAATAATAATAATAATAATAATAATAATAATAATAATAATAATAATAATAATCACGTGCAAAACTGAAAAATTGTTATAACTTCAGCATGAATACTGAATAATATCCCATTAACCAATATTTCAACTTCAATTATTTTTTTTTCCATTTTCAGGATTTTAACTTGATATGGTGAACTCTGTGAGGGGAAAAAAATGACATGACCACGATGTGTTATTGCATAAGACTATAAACAAAATAACAAAAAAAAAATAAGTTTTTTTTTTAAATGTTGACTAAGAACTAATCGTGTTAACATTCAGGTAATTATTCGAGCTAAAAAAAAGATGGTACATACATGACATATTCCTAAAACAATTAGCTTCAAATTATGACATGCAAAAATAATTAATATTTTCCTTTTTTTTTGGTAATGGATAATTAATATTTTCGAAGACAAGAAGTTCTTGAACAAATCCCCGACCATCCCACGTACGACGTCGCATTTGTTTCGCACCAAACGTATAGTATATTCTTGCGACAAGATTTATTATAACCATTTTCTTAATAATTATATTCCAACAAAATAAAATAAAATTGTCCCCACTCACATGGGAGATTAGATTCTCAGAATCTAACAACATGCGTTACGTATTAACCAATTTCAAACTTTTTATTATAAAAAAAATGTTTCATAATAGTTTTTTGGTTTTTGCTTATCAAACACTTCATGCATGAAATCGAAGTGCCTCTTCGAAAGTGTCCCCATCATTCGGACCTACCGTTATATGCATTTCCCCCCTACGGTTTCATGCGCTGCTATCATATACTAACGTATGCTTATGTATAAAATTTAAATATTGTTAATTTAAATTATTGTTATAGTCTGTTTGTAGTTCATTTTTTTTTTCAAATGTTAGGGATATGCTCACTCGTGCAAGAAATTACGACTCATTACACCCTTTCATGTTATCTTTCACGTGCTCGACTGGGTAAACATTTTTTTTTACCACGAAAAGGGTACAAAACCTGTATGTATATATATATATATATACACACATATGTGTGTGTGTGTGTAAGTAATAATAGGAGGTATAGTTTCCAAGAACTTTTACACATATAGGGTGTATATATATATCATTTTTTTTATGTCTTGAGAAAAGTAGATTAATTAATTTTATAAACTTTTAATGATTTTGCAATATTTTACACATTAAACTTTTACGCACTTTATTTATCGCGGAGCTTATGTGGCAAAATAGCCATATGAGCATATATATACCCACATTTCACATTCCCACATCTGAAACATACCACATCCCCAAATTCAATCTCTCATTTATATCACAAAATTATTTTATATATAGATTTGAGAAATCTTTAGTCTAATCTTCAATAAATCGCGATAACAAGAGACTATTATACATCATATTCGTCATATCATTACATATTTAAATAATTTTCAAATCAGTACTTCAATATATATATATATATATATCCAGGGTCATCTCAACTTTTTTGGAGGCCCTGTACATTATACAAAATTATATCGATAAAAACTATAAATTTATATAATAAAAATAATATTATTAAAAATATTTAATAAAAATAGATAAATTAATATAAAAAAATTATTAATAAAATTAATAATGATTTTAAAAATCATTAAGTTTTATAATAAAAATTATTTAAATATAATCAATAAATTTTGTAACGTTTTTCTTTATTAATGATAAGAATAATGTTTTTTTTAAAAAATCCATAAATTTAGGTTTTTTAAAATAAATACAATTCATTTTCAATTTTTAAATAATTTTTTAATTATTATTGATATATTTCAACAATTATAAAATCAATTTAATATTAAATTTGAATTAATAAAAATTTTACATTATAAGTAATTTATATAATATCATATTTATTTGTACAATAATATAATGTATAATAATTATATCAAAAAATTGATTGGAGTAATGATTTTTAAAATGGAATCCATTTGATGTCCACCCACCTTCCATAGGCATTTTGGGAGAGTAGCCTCATTTCTTTCTTGGATCAATCAATGTTAAATTAAAATGATATTCTTCAAATTTATATTTATTATTACAATAATATATAATTAATATTAATAAATAACTTAAAAAATGAGACTCCCAAATTTATGGAATCCTGTTCCCGCGCACCTTTTGCACTTGCTAATAGACGGCCCTGTATATATCCAGGTAGCGGTAGAAATTATATATTAAAAACTGATAAAAGTGTGAATTCTCGTATCATTGATCAGGTTTTTGAAACGATACAAAATTAGACGGTGATTAATACTAATAAATTACTAGACGGTGAGAAAGGGACGTGACTCATGAAATAGGGTTTGACCATGCGGGATTCATGCTTTGATATATCACGCATATGCTTGTTGAACACTTCAACGTATATTTAAGCCCCCGTTACCGTATGTTTATTATCAAAATCTTCGGATATAAATTACCAATAAGCCTTTTGCTCAATTTCGCAAGAAACGACCTTTTGAGATGGACACGTGCATGCAATTATATTTCGAAAACGAGTCGCTAGCTTTCATTATTTATTGGTTTTCTGCTAAATAATATGGTCCTATTTAATTATATTGGCATATATCTTCTATTACTTATACACTAAAAATAATGTAAAAGATTAAGAGAGAGAAGGTGAGAAAAAAAAACAAAAGTTTCTACTCAAATCTTTGATTAAGCCTTGTATATTCCATGAAAACAAAAAGGTTAAGAAAGATAATGTCATAAATATTTTTTGGTAATTAAAATAATTGATAATATATATATATATATATATATAATATTACGATAGAGTGATGCTTTTATTTTATTTTTTAGGGTGTAAATTGAACAAATAGATTAATTTAGTAGATGTTGTTGAGTTTTTTTTTAATCTTTAAAATAAGCTGTTAGAGGGCCCATAGATCTAAAAGAGAGATGGGTAATTAATAGGCCCAATATATTATCAGGCTTTCATGTACTTTTTTATAGACCCACAAGAGTTTCCATCAGAAACACCTTGCCGTTTTTATCCGACGGACTACCTGAAAACGCCACGATGTGTCTTAGCTTCAAGCAAGGGAATATCCTTGTCCTTGCCTTATATTGCGTTCGCGCAGTAATATCTATTACATGAAATGTATTGGCAGTTCAATAACATAAATGAGGAAATTCCAAGTCTACCATAAAAAAAAATGAAATCATATCTTAGATTTAAGATTTTTCAAATAAATTTATAAATTATTTTGTAATAGACAATTTCAAAATGTTGAAAAAAGTTTGAAATTATTTATATGAATGTTTTATAAAATTGTAAAACCACGCCGTTTTGGTGGCAAGGTCAAATTTCTATACTAGGGACCGTCCCTCCAAATTCCTCGACGAGGTGAAAAAGAGGGGTTAAAATAATATCTAGGAATAATATTAATATTAATATTAATAATAACAGTAATGATAAATATCTGGGCCGGTTATCAGACATTATACCCATCTTCAACGCTTTCTGGGTTTGGGGACTGATACCGGCTAGAGTTTCCGGCGGAAGCTCAAGTTTTCCGATCAATGGCTCCGACGAAGAGGAAGACCAATGGAGAAGCGAAGCCGAATCCTGTGACGGCGTCGCTTAGGGTGACTCGAAGCATGGTTCGCCGGACTCGGAGCTCGGTTCAGCGGGACGGCGCTAACTCGGCAGTGTCAGCCTCCAATCTCGTGAAGCTCGACTCGCCGGCGAAGAATGCTAAGAGGAAGACGGCAACGGGGGCCGGGAAGAGGAAGAAGAAGGAAAAGAAGGAAGAGAAAGCGGCTGATGGAGAGGATACCGAAGAGAAAGCGATTGAGGATGGTGTTGCTGCTGAGGATTCAAAGAAAAAAACCATTGTCATTGAACACTGGTAAAAATAAGTCATCTTCTCTTTCTGCTTGTAGTTTTAGGGTTCCTGAGAAAGACTGACGAAAATCGTAGTAGCAAATGTACTAGTTAACGTTTGGCGCCGTCTCTGTGATTAAATTGTGTAGTGAGGTTCCAATCCAGCGTATCAACTGGATCTTTTCTTGTTCTAGTTAGGGTTTCACTCAAGATGAACTATGGACCCCCGTCTTGTTCTGCCGTTGTGGTGGACTTGTGTTGTGATTTGGTGTTTGACAACACTTGGTATCGGTCTTGTTCTCTTGTTGTGGATGAATATGTTGTCTTTATACTGTTCTTGCTTAGGATTATAACAATCTTGTATTGTCTGATGTTCATGTTAATCTATTCTTGAAGCAAACAATGCAATGCTTTCAAGACAAGGGCTATCCAGGTGAAAGAGGGCCTGGAGGGAAGTGTCCCTGGCGTAATGGTGATTCTGAACCCCGAGAAGGTATAACTCTACTGACAAAATATCGTGAAGCCGTTCATGTAACTTACCCGTTTCTCCGTGGATGATTCTTTATTTGTTGTTCACGTTCTCGGTTATGCTGTGATCCTCTCCTTCTGGTTTGCGCGAATAGCCGAGGAGGGGATGCTTTGAGATTCGGGAGGAAGGTGGCAAGGCATTCATCAGTCTTTTGGTAAACCCTACCCTACAATTCTAATACTCGAAATTTCACCAATCCATTGCCCCTTCTGTGAATGAATTTGATCCATTTGGCTTACGCAACTTTGATGGTCCTACTGCTTGTTTCACAGGGATTGAATATTAGTTTTGCCTCCTTTAGTGGCACCCATTTGATAAAAGACCCTGCTTGAAACAAGCTAATGAGATTCGAGCATTGTGAAAAACGGCTCTACTATTGGCAGGGAAGCGGT